CTTTACGTAACTAAATCAAATATTACTATAACGTACAAATATTCAATGTATAAATCATATAAACCTTGGGTGATGGGGAAAACTCAGAAAAGTACAAAGACAAATTATGAAATTGGTGTGAAAGATGAGAAAGGTGCGCAGTCTAAATCCGAAACCACAAACGCTGTCGTTTTCGGACAACTTGGACAGATAAACAAAAAAACATGAGCCACACTATAGTGTGACTAGTGTTTGTGTGTGTTCACCAACCAAGATTTGATTCTTACTTGAAGTAGACATCAACCAAACAAACCCTTAATTAACAGAATCAAAAGGGTCTGATCTCTTCTCCACTTATCTTCTTCTTCTCTCTCTCTCTCTCTCGGTTTAGGGATTTGACTAATACGAATCAAAATTATCATGTTTTGTTTTTCTCCAACATGTTGTTATTTATGTTTAACAAACTGTCCTTTCTTAATCTTAATCTTGATTAGCATCTTTCTAGAAGTCTCTGATCATTATTAAAGAAAGAGAGAGAATAAATCTGTTGGATTCAAAAGTCGAGAATCCAAACGTACTCCCAAATAATTAAACAAATAAAAATATTTATGTTTAACATAATTTTAATTAATTTTTTTGTGTAAATGCTTTCAAAATTATGAAGCCAAAAGTATGTTGGTAGTTTTTTGAACAGTGGACCAGTAAATTAAGACTAACTTTGCTTGAATTTTTATTCTAATGGAATGAAAAAACCTTTGACTATTGGTGTATAGATAAATAAATTCACAAAAAGGTAGATAGATACATGTTGCATTTCAAGTCGAGATGTCCATTGATTAAAGCAAACGGTAGGACTTTATCTTCGATTAGAAACTGGTGATGGACCATCCCCAACCTGGCAACCTCCACTAGCATCATCTCCACCTACTCCTAACCACTAATCCAATTATCTTTTTCATTTTTTCCTATCAATATTATTCTATTTCGCTTTTTATTTGTCTAAATGTTAATATGTTCATAACAAATCCATCGTAGTTCAATGGTTGAAAACTTCATCTTGAAGTTAAGGATTATATATGTACATACTATAAACAAAAAACGTAAGAGTTTGAATTGCTTTTTAGAGATTTTATGAATTCGAATCTAAAAGATAAAGAAAAAAGTGAGATATATCTATTTGGAAATAGAGTGAATTGGATTTGAATTCGCTACAACAAAGAAATGAAAAGTTTTTAGTAAGTGAATTATTTTTTGGAAATTTTACGAATTCGAATTTAAAAGATAGAAAGAAAAATGAAAGAAATTTATGTGTAAGCACAATAAATTGAATTTGGATTCACCAAAATTTTATTTGAAAATATTAATTATCAAAAGTCCAAAAATTAGTTTGGACTTTAGTTCAAAATTTTTCAATTATTAATAAATAGAATTTCGTTCAGTGAAAGAAATGGACTAATATGGATCATGAATTTTTAAAGGAAAAATAGAGATGAGACTATTAATTATTCTTACTAACAAAAATAAATTCTACCTAAAAAGATATAATAGTTTAAACTTATTTTAGGAAATTTGCATTTCAATGTTAAATGTATACAAAATTCAAAAATTAAAAAATATTTAATTTATTTCATATTAGTTGTCCTTTAAGATTTATTCACACATACTAAAATGCTATTTAAATATTCTTTTTTACCCATCATTAATATTATTTTATTTGATACCATTAATTAGTGAACTAATTGAATAAAGATAAAAGCAGAATTTTTGTCCAAAATTTGCATTTAATAACAACAGATTCGATCGAAAAAAAAATTTGAATCAACGGTCGAGATAAAAAGTTTATGAATTGGAAAGATTAGTCGGTGGGTACATTAATCCTAGATTTAAGTAGGATTTCACAGTCAATAGTAGTTCCAGATCAAAGCAGCTTGAATATTGTGTTGAATTGTTTCTGCAAGTGTGGTTTTCAACGCTAAGCATTCTCAATTTTGGGATTGATGGTTAAGCTATGATTGAAACCCAATATAGCTACTTACAGACCAATGATAATGGTTTCTCCGAATCTCTAAATTTTATTGATGCATTAGAAAAGGTTAGTAAGATATGAAAAAAAGGTATATCATCGTTGATGTCTAAGAAAAAAGGAAAACTTTACCGTTAGTTTGTTCAAACTTTCTTTCACACTCTTTCACTTTTTATTTATATTTTCTTTTCCTTTCTTAATATTATTTTAATTTTTTTAACTGAAAAAAAAAGAGTACCCCAAACTGCAAAAAAATGCATTTTATTCTTCTTATACAAACTACAATAGAGGATTTCATTAAACTTAGTAAATGTATTTATTCTTTTTCAATAAAACAAACCATTTCATTATTTAACTCTACGAGTCAATTGTCAATTGCCAATACCAATCCCAACTTTGTGGTTTTCATTTTATTGCCTTCTTCGATTTTTCAAATACTGTAATTATATTATTTTATTTGATATCATTAATTAATGAATTAATTGAATAAAGATAATAGCAAAATTTTTGTCTAAAGTTTGTCGAAACAAAAATATTCATCTTAAAACGATATCATTTAAAATTAAGAGAGTATAAAATAACACTTTTGAAATATAAAATGATAAAAAAAATCTTAACATTCATCAACTTTTTCATTAAAAAAGGCCCAAGGCCAATATAAAAATATCACCTTACTAATAAGGGGTTAATGAGAAATTATTGAAATATACCCTAACTTATTTTAACTAATGAGAAATTTCTAACACAAATTGTTAGTAAAAAATATTACTTCAATGCTTATATTATATTAGAAATTTCTTTTAGTTAATAATTCTTTAAATCGAATGATATAAAGTTTCGATAGATAATTTTTTTTGTTATCAAAAGATAGTATCAAAGTTTGAAATTGTTTTTAAATATTTTCTAAACTTCGATACCATGTTTTTACTAATAAGATGTATCGAAGTTTGTAAATTTAAAAAAAAAAAATATTTATATATATAGAAATTTGAGTACGTAATATCTCTGTTACACAAAAATGGTATCGAAGTTTGAAATATATTGGCCAAACACTCTTAACTGAATACAATCCTCCAATGCAATAGCTCTTTGATAAATTTAATTACAAAATTATCCTCCAATGCAATGGTTCTTTGATAAATTTAATTTCAACATTATCCTCCAATGCAATAGTTCTTTGATAAATTTAATTACAAATTTATCAAAAGCAGGTACTCGAATCTAACCATTACCTACCTGATACACACCAAATTTTGGATCTAGAGATCATCTTGACCAATTTGTTTATAGTATAAAGAGAATATAAAAGCTCGATTCATGTGGGTCATCCATCATTTAGGTTCCGCATCTTTTGTACTTTTCTTTCTTTTCTTTTTTTTGGGTCAAATTTGTACTTTTCTTTCTAGTTTTAATCTTGCAATGTAACTTTCTTTTCAAGACCAAAATAAGTTAATTTTAGTTCCTTCACTCTGGCTAGTACTTATACTCGTGACCTTGAATCTTTCTTATTTTCCTTTTTAAGGTGGCCAATTAGTATTCCCATGAAACTAACCGACATCAGATAACATAAAGCATCTTGATATCAGCTTTAATTTTATTTTATTCCGATAATTGAATATGTAATTTTATCATAGTCCAACCAATATCAGAATATGAAATTGTCTTGTGAAATCTATAATAGTCAATGTTGTAGTACTAGTGTCATGAAAGATTACAAAAATTCTATTAATTTCTTAATTGTATATTTAGCTTTGTATAGACCTAACATGGGTTATTATTTTTGGCCGTTTACCAATTTTAACTCTTGTTTCTTTTTAAAAGAAAGCTAAACGTTTAAATTCATTGTTTAACATATACTTTCGTTACAGTAGAAATTTACCTTGCGTTTAACGATAATTTCAAATGTTTTTTTTTACGCATTGGCACATTGCCTAACACACATGGCTTGATTTTAAAGATATCATCGATAAGTTACTCATCATTGTAAAAAAGTTATTTGCATTTTATTGTTTATATTGGAGGATGCCAGAATTGAAAATTTTGGTGGAAGACATGTCGTTGACCACTCTTTATCAGACTAGACTTCTGTATTATTGCCTGCGTTGAAAATTTAGAAATTAAAAGATCTATATAAAATGGTAATGTTTTATTTTTTTGGCAACAAATGGTAATTTCTTATCCATTTATACAATTAACCAAAGCTGGAATATTTCACTAAAATAGAATTATCTTGCATTATTACGTTAAAGCTCTTGTGGAATTTAGTCTTTCATGCAATTTTGCTCCCAAAAGTCAGCTTCGAAATCATGGCTTTTTAACTCACATCTATCAAAACTATATTACTAGTGTTTGAATAATGATTGAAAAGGTTCTTACATTAGATAAACTTTGGACGGTTACTAATTTTTTTATTTTACACTCCATACGCATATTAATTAAATATTTTTTGTTTGTTTGATACTAACTAGAATTAAATTACGAACCACAACCAAAACTAATTTCAAATAATTTTAAAACCGATGTTTTTGTCAACTTAAAACGTCTCTAAACCTCCACTCTTAGCCTATCATTGACATTTGACAACTTTGTAAGAGTTGGGATTAATATAATCTTTTTTCATTAATTGATTAACTGAAGAGTTCTGAGTATTTCAACTTTTACTAAATCAACCCAACAACAAGAATCGAACCAAGTATTTAAGAAAACACAATCTTTGGAAAATCTTAGAAAATATCACTAGCCTAAAAATCACTTGATAATCAAGATAGATTTTGGACTAATGAATTTGAAAAAAAGTGAATTAGAAGATAAATAAATAAACAAAAAATCTAAATTTTGAAGAACCTATATCGACTTTTGCAATTCAATAAAACCAATCCAACAACAATTTTAAAAATTTATTATATAAATTCAAGAAAAATCACACAAAAATCCTTTTGACATCATTCTCATAATTGGTCTCGGGACGTTCACACGCACTAGAGTCTGAATCCGTCGTCTCTTTTCTCTCACAGGGACTATTCAGTCATTTCGCAGCCGCACACAAACGCACACGCGTAGTTTCTCTATTCCCAAATCAAATCTGAAAGTTCTCTGTTTCTTTAACCGCCCTCTCTCTCTCTCTCTCTCTCTCTCCCTCTCTCAATCAATCTCACATGTGAGATTGAAAGTTTGAACGGAAAAAAAATGGTGGTGCCCGGACGGAGAACTGTCTGGGATGGAGTAATCGAGCTGACGAAGATGGCTCAGGAACAGTGCGTCGACGCTCGTCTCTGGGCTTCCCATTTATCGGCGAACTTAAAACCCGTCATTGAGTTCCCGTCGACGGAGCTCGCGGAGGTACTCGTTTCGTACATTTGTTGGGATAATAACGTCCCTGTTCTCTGGAAGTTCCTTGAAAGAGCTATGGCTTTGAAGCTTGTCTCTCCTCTCGTTGTTCTTGCTCTGCTCTCTGACAGGTTTTTGTTTCTTCTTACTTTTATCTCTAATCCATTTTTTTTTTTGTTTATCGCTTATGGATTGTTTCCCGCATATTGATAATTTCCTTTAGAAAGTTTCTAATTTGGTGAATTGAAGTTTGGAAACTAGCGACGAAGAACGAAAATCTCTCTTGGATTTTGGAAATGGATCTTAGATTTGGTTCTTAGTTGATGAGTGGTGAAGCTTTTTATATCTTATTGTATAGTTTCATGTTTTTGTGATTTGTTCTTGCAGAGTTGTACCGAACCGGTTAACGCAACTCGCGGCTTATAGAATTTACCTGGAGCTTCTCAAGAGAAACATGTTCAGGATTAAAGATCATATTACCGGACTTCACTACGACAAGTGAGTATTGTTGTTGTTGTTGATGCTTTTACTCACTACTGTTTCATTAATATGTTTGGTTCTGTTGAAAAATCTCAGCTCATTACTCAGAGCAAGTAGAAATGGAGAATACTATTACTTTGTAATTTATTCGTCTTTTTTTTTTGTACAGTGTTATGGATTCAGTAGCCAACATTCTTCGTCTTCCAGAGTTATTTCGTCTGGAGACAAGCAAGCCTGGTGTACTTTTAGTAGAGTTCGTCTTTAAGATGGTGTCACAGCTTGTAGATGCGTGCTTGAGCGATGAAGGTTTACTAGAGCTAAGCCAAGACTCGAGTTCTCAGTGGGTGATCAAGTCTCAAGATATGGAGATTGATGCTCCTGAGAGATATACTCAAAAGACTGGATCTCACGAGAAGCTGCAGACTTTAAACACCATCATGGCTATCGAGATGATTGCAGAGTTCCTCAGCAATACAGTGATCTCCAGGTTGCTCTACTTGGTATCCTCCAACAGGTACGCATCATAGTTTAATCTGAAACCATATAAAGATTAAAGCTATTTCTTGTTCTTGTATGGGATCAACAGCATTTTCATTGTGAAGTGTTTCTCTTTTAAGAGTGTGCTATACATTTCTTTGTAGGGCTTCAAATTGGCATGAATTTGTCCGGAGAGTACAGCTGCTTGGAGAAAATTCATCGGTCTTAAGAAACTCAAAGGTTCTAAATTCTGGGGACCTATTGCAGTTGATTTCGAATAAGAGATTTGGGTATTCTTGCGACAGCAAAGTTACTTCATTACGGAAGTCCAACGCAATTGTGGATTTTGGATCTCTTGCTTCATTTGCCGGCTTATGCCATGGAGCAAGTCTCTCTTCACTCTGGCTTCCTCTTGATCTGGTGTTTGAAGATGCTATGGATGGATATCAAGTGAACCCAACTAGTGCGATTGAAATAATAACCGGTAATTTTCAGACTCCATCTTCTTTCACTTGTGGCTTTAAGTTAACTAAAGAGGAGATATCTCCAAATATGTAATGAGATGACTCAACAAAAATCAAAATTTCCAGGTCTAGTTAAAACACTTAAGGAAATTAATGGCAGCACTTGGCATGACACCTTCTTGGGTCTTTGGATAGCAGCTCTCCGACTTGTTCAAAGGGTTAGACTAATCTCTTCCTCTTTCGATTTCATCACTTGCAAAGTTTACTTACAACCGTGTGTTTTTGTGATTGGTTCTGTTATTTGGTTGTTAGTCTCTCATTCCATGGCTCTTTCTGATTTACTTGTCTTTCTTCTATTGGTAGGAAAGGGATCCTATTGAGGGACCTATTCCTCGACTGGACACAAGGCTGTGCATGTCACTGTGTATTGTACCTCTCGTGATCGCGAGCCTTATTGAAGAAGGAGAGTATGAGTTTGTCATGGAAAAGCTGCGAGACGATCTTATTACAAGTTTGAAGGTCCTTGGTGAATTCCCTGGGTTGCTGCATCCTCCCCGTTGCGTTGTTTCTGCTGCCAACAAGGCTGCCACAAGGGCAATCATATTTTTGTCTGGTGGAAACGTTGGAAAGTCATGCTCTGATGTCATAAACATGAAGGACATGCCTATCAACTGTTGTAAGTTCATAAAGATTCTGCTCTGCTAAGCTGAAGTTAAAACAAATTTGCCTCATGATTGTCGTCATTTGTTGATGTTCTTGGGTTCTATTTCTTATCTGACATATACTATGTTTATCTCGTAGCTGGAAACATGCGCCATCTGATAGTTGAGGCTTGTATTGCAAGAAACATACTTGACACGTCGGCCTATTCGTGGCCTGGCTATGTTAATGGCCGAATCAACCAAGTACCTCACACTCTACCCATTGAAGTACCTTGCTGGTCGTCATTTGTGAAAGGAGCCCCACTAAATGCCGCAATGGTGAATGCATTAGTCTCAGTTCCTGCTTCAAGGTAGATTGAGTTCTTATCTTATTACTGTTTCTTCTTGGTTGATTAGTTGTACACTCCTTCACTCACATAACCTAAGAAGACATTTCCTTAAATCCGAGGTCGCTTCAGTGAGAAGAGTGGTTGCATTCTAGTTTTACTTGAGAACTTCTGCCTCTTGTTCAGTTATTCCTTTTTGATTCTTAGCCAGGAAGAGTCTGATGCTCTTTTTTTTTTAATATACCGAGAGTAAAGCAACTGAAATTTAAGCTCATGGATTTGATGGAAGCTTAGCAGAGCTCGAGAAACTCTATGAGGTCGCAGTCAAAGGATCGGATGATGAGAGGATATCTGCTGCTACAGTGCTTTGTGGGGCATCTCTCACACGGGGATGGAACATACAGGTTGGTATTACGTCACCCCAGTGAAAATTCTGTTTGAATTTACTGCTCGGTTACACAACTTTGCTTAATCTGTTTTTTCTTCAATGTACAGGAACACACTGTTGAGTTTCTTACAAGATTACTTTCCCCACCCGTTCCAGCAGATTACTCCGGGGATGAAAGTCATTTGATTGGTTACGCCTGCATGCTGAATGTTGTTATTGTCGGCATAGGATCTGTTGACAGCATTCAGATTTTCTCTTTGCATGGCATGGTATGTAAATTATGCGTCAAGCTTCTTGGAATTTGATACCGAGTTTGCTGCAAGATGTTAATGACTATTTTTGTAGGTTCCGCAACTTGCTTGCTCACTAATGCCAATCTGCGAAGAGTTTGGATCTTACACCCCAAGTGTATCATGGACTCTTCCTTCCGGAGAAGAAATCTCAGCGTATTCTGTTTTCTCAAATGCCTTCACTCTTCTCTTAAAGCTTTGGAGATTCAATCATCCTCCTATTGAGCACGGTGTAGGAGATGTGCCCACTGTTGGCTCCCAACTCACTCCCGAACATCTTCTTCTAGTGCGTAACTCTCATCTTGTGACCTCGGAGACACTAAATAGAGACCGAAACAGAAAGAGACTATCAGAAGTCGCAAGGTCAGCATCTTGTCAACCCGTGTTTGTTGACTCGTTCCCCAAGCTGAAAATCTGGTATAGGCAGCACCAGAGATGCATCGCTTCCACGTTATCTGGACTTACACATGGATCTCCCGTCCACCAGACTGTTGAAGCACTTCTCAACATGACGTTCAGGAAAGTCAGAAGCAGTCAGACGTTAAATCCAGTGAATTCAGGCACAAGCAGTTCATCGGGAGCTGCAAGTGAAGATAGCATTGCAAGACCCGAGTTTCCTGCTTGGGATATCCTCAAAGCCGTTCCGTATGTTGTAGATGCTGCTTTAACAGCTTGTACTCATGGAAGGCTTTCTCCTCGTGAGTTAGCTACAGGTTTGTGCCTGATGCATAAATATGTGAACAGTCGTTAAATGATATGCTTTTCTTTAGAGTAAAGTGGTTTTTTTGTTTATGTGTGCTTTCAGGGCTGAAAGATTTAGCAGACTTTCTCCCGGCATCATTAGCAACAATAGTAAGCTACTTCTCGTCTGAAGTGAGTAGAGGTGTTTGGAAGCCAGCATTCATGAACGGCGTTGATTGGCCAAGTCCTGCTACAAATCTATCCAACGTTGAGGATTATATAAAGAAAATTCTCGCAACAACAGGCGTTGATATCCCTAGCCTTGCTCCAGGTAAAATTATGAAACGTGTTTTAAACACCAATTCTGTTTGTTTAAACTTGTTTTTTTTTTTTTGAACTTATGGTTGATTCTTGGCTGTGTTATAGCAGGAGGAAGTTCTCCGGCAACGCTCCCTTTACCTTTAGCGGCTTTTGTAAGTCTGACTATTACTTACAAAATCGACAAAGGTTCAGAGCGGTTTCTCAACCTGGCTGGTCCAGCTCTTGAGTGTTTGGCCGCAGGGTGTCCTTGGCCTTGCATGCCCATCGTAGCTTCTTTATGGACCCAAAAGGCGAAACGTTGGTTTGACTTCCTCGTTTTCTCTGCCTCTCGCACAGTCTTTCTTCACAACCCAGACATGGTGGTTCAGCTTCTCAGAAACTGTTTCAGCGCCACTCTCGGCTTGAATGCTGCACCCATGTCAAACGATGGTGGTGTCGGAGCTCTTCTTGGCCATGGATTCGGCTCTCATTTCTACGGCGGGATATCTCCCGTGGCACCAGGGATTCTCTATCTCCGTATGTATCGTGCTCTCAGAGACACCGTCTCTGTAACGGAAGAGATTTTCTCTCTGCTGATACACTCCGTGGAGGATATAGCACAGAACAGGCTCTCTAAGGAGAGTCTGAAGAGGCTGAAGACGGTGAAGAACGGATCAAGATACGGACAAAGCTCACTAGCAACAGCAATGACTCAAGTCAAGCTCGCTGCCTCGCTTAGCGCCTCGTTGGTATGGCTAACCGGTGGTTTAGGTGTGGTCCACCTACTCATCAAAGAAACCATACCGTCTTGGTTTCTTTCGGTTGACAAATCAGACCGAGAACAAGGAGCATCAGATCTAGTTGCAGAGCTAAGAGGGCATGCACTTGCCTACTTCGTTGTCCTATGCGGAGCATTCGCTTGGGGAGTGGACTCGAGATCAGCTGCATCGAAACGCCGACAAGGGATCTTGGGAAGCCACTTGGAGTTCCTCGCGAGTGCCTTGGACGGGAAGATATCAGTGGGATGCGAGACAGCCACGTGGCGGGCTTATATCTCCGGTGTGGTGAGTCTGATGGTGAGCTGTTTGCCACGTTGGGTGACGGAGATTGATACAGAAGTGTTGAAGAGTCTGAGCAATGGACTGAGACAGTGGGGAAAAGAGGAGCTTGCGATTTTATTGCTTTCCATGGGAGGTGTCGAGACAATGGACCATGCGACTGATTTCATCATTCATTTGCGGTCTTAGCTTCTACAAGTTTTGAGCTCAGATAGTTTTTTTTTTTTTGTTTTTTGTTTTTTGTTTTTATTTGATTAGCTTTGCTTTGATGATAGATGTTTTTGCTTTCTTGTACCTTCATGTCCTTTAGCTGTAGTATAGTGTGATGAATCTAACAAGCATGTATAGGGAATGGATAAAAAAAAGAAGAAAAAGACAAATCTTGTAAAGAAATAAGATTCTTATATAGCAAGATGATTATGTCTCTAAGTCTACAATTTGCATTCTGACTATGTAACTTTGCTACTATGCAATAATCAAAGAAAACAGAGGAATTGTGTTGCGTCTCATGATAACTTCAACAGTAATATTTTGACTCTCATCTCATTTCTTTGTAGTAAGTAATAACTTAGTATCCTAATTGCATCACAAAAAGAGCTGCCAGAATTTACTTGCTTATTTTTCTCTCGTCTCCTTCACCTTGCTGGATTTGAACCAAACTTGGAACATAATTGAAAATAAATGGCTCCCTTGTGCGATCCAAATCTGGAACATAATTGAATTTAAACGGCTCCCTTGTGCAATTTTAATTTCGAAAATAATCGAATATAGATGGCTCCCTTGTGCAAGAGTTTACTAAAGTGATTTCCGTGCAATAGTCCTCTCCAATAACGTATACGTTGTCTCTGTAACTTGCGCGGCAACAAACGGCCACTTTTTTTTGGCTTGAACCAATCTTGTCTAATATAATAAATATAGACACACAAGAAACGAAATATTTAAACACTCTTTTTGATTCAAGTATGTTGAAATTCATGATATTATACATTTGAATCATAATTGTAAAACATTCACCATTCTTGAAATACAACTTATAGATGTAAAATAGCTATTAAGCATCCTTTAGTTCAAGCTGAGCATCTCTTATTAAGTGTGACTTTAAGCCCATGCTTCATGTGAAGAGTAAGACCAGGAATTGGCTCAATCTTGTGTCCTTTAACTACCACAATGTCATAGTTCTGTAATATCTCCACCACTATAACCTTCAAATGGGTCATAGCTATATGCTTACCGAGACAGGTTCTTGGACCGGAATTAAATGAAAAGAACTTGTAGGACGGTTCATGTCTCAACCCTCCTGTCTCTGACACCCATCTCTCTGGCTTAAACTCCAATGCATCTTCTCCCCAAATGGCTTTCATCCTCCCCATCGCGTAAAGAAAGACCATGATTGTAGAGTTTGCATCGACTCTGTGTCCACTTGGAAGCACATCTGGTTTTATACAAGACTTGCGTTGGAATGGGGTTGGTGGATAGAGCCTCATTGCTTCATACAATGTGCCATGTAAGTACACGAGCTTATCCAAGTTCACTTGGCCACTTCCGGTTCTTGGTAGATTCTTGTTGATTTCGTCGCGGATCATAGTCGTCACTTGGGGGTTTTCAGACAAAAGCCAGAAGAACCAAGACAGAGCAGATGCCATGGTGTCTCTTCCCGCGACAATGAAACCCAAGAAGACATCTCTGAGGAATTTATCATCATTCGGATTCGATATCTCGTACTTGGCTGCGTCTAGTTTTATGAATAACGTTAAAACATCCTCATGGTGACTAACCCCTTGTTGTATCTCATCTCTCTTAGCTGATATGTACATTGCACATACACGATGAAGCATGGCATCAGCTTCTACCATCCTCTTCTCTTGTCCGAATCCTATCCACTTTTGCAGCTTCCAAAAGAATCTTGGTATAAGATGCCTATAGACAATCGCTTCTTCAACATCGTCGAATGCTTTAACGAACTCATGCTCACGCATTTCAATGGAGAGAGATCTTGGATCAGACCCGGTTATTGTAACGAGGGTTGTGTCGAAGGTGAATCTCCGGAACACATCCTGCAAGTCCACGACCGTCCCTTCCTCTGCAAAATGATTCAAAAGAGGCAAAAGCACGTCCTTGAGTTTGCTTCTTGTGGTACTCATTGAAAACTTTTGAAACCCTTGATGATGTAGCATGACCTGATAACACTTCTTCAGATTACTACATCGCTCGGCGTCTGAGTTGATTATCCCGTCTCCGAAAATTTCAAAGATCTCTTGGAACTCGGGACCTTTTATGTAGTTGGAGAAGTTTGAGCTCATCATATGATGAATATTGGCTGGATCTACGGTGACCAATGTATCCTTTCCAGCAAACCATGGACCCTTGAATGGGAACGTCATGTTAGAGCTCTCAAGAACCTCGACGCTGTCACAGATCCGGTGAATTCTCACGAGAAACCCTGGAGACATCCCAAAAATCGGCCAATTCCAAGGGTAGCTTTGAAGGGTTTTCTTGATGCGTAAGTAATTAAAGGGTACCTTGTTGAGAAAGTAATAGAAAATGAGAAAGCAAAAGATTGCTAGGAATGCTTCAAATACGCCGATCGAAGCCATTGGTTAGAGAAGTTTGATTTGGTGTATACAGAAGGGAATAGAAGAAGGAACTTGAATTATATACACATAGTATATACAATACAACGACAAGATGAGTTCTCAAGTACCTGCATATTTTCACTACATCTATATATAACTAGAGGCTTTATATCTTTTAATTCACTTCAAAGATATGTCTGGAAACAGCTTGTCTGTATTTATATAACCATGTGATCTTTAATCTAAACAACTAATCGAGAGCAGGATCGGAGTTGAATTGTTAGTGATCTCTTCTAGACACGGATTCCACTAATAGCATCCAGCGCAAAGAAACGTAAGTGTAATAATTTTCTTGATGAGTAAGTTAATTTAATAAAAGTTTCTTTATGAGGAAGTAACTTAGATGCACATATTTTCGTGTAAGAAATAACGCTTCAGCGTTAGGTAATACAAAAAAAAAGGTTGAAATACATTTCATTTAATCGCATGTTAATACCAATCTTCTAAGACCATGGGACAAGTACGTTTCAACAACACATTCATTACCTTATATTTTGTTTTTATATAATGATATTCCGATAAATTATTATTGTAACAACTTTAGCATTAACATTAGCTAGCTGAATATCTATTCGTAAGCGTGACTCTAAGCCCATGCTTCATGTGAAGAACAATACGAGGCTTTGGGTCAATCTTTATATCCTTTCACGACCTTGCATGTTATAGTTTTGTAATATCTCAACGACTACGTTCCGTTTTTCAGTACGGTCATTGCTTTTACAAGGACAAGTTCTTGTACCGGCAAGAACTTGTAAGAAGGCTCATGTCTCAACTCTCCAGTCTCTGAACTCATCGATACCCATACAGATCATCCTCCCTAACGCATATATATAGGGAACTTGCTCATTAGTCATTAATTGGCATTTGATTTTATGGAAACCTCATTATTACACGTTATGTTTCTACGTCAGTTCAAATTAATCGAATCAGTCAATATAATTAAAACAACTCAAAAAATTTCATTAAATTACATGATCAACTAATATGTAGAGGATTTAGAAAAAAACATCACTGTGTAATTTTAACAAAATATTTCTCAAAAACACCTCATTTCAGCAAAGAAACTAAAAAATAACATGAAGGTTCTAAAATTAGTAAATCAGTAAACTAATAACATCAATCTTTTTACTAATATTTAGAAATCACTTAATAAATAACCATTGATCATTCGATTAAAAAAATTACATTAATTCAATAGCACATGGTTGGCATGTTAAAATCCATCAAACAAAAAATTAATAGTATATATACTACAATAATTTCTCCTTTATTAAAAGAGTCAATTATATAAATTAAAAATTTGTAAAAAATAGTGGTTGTTTGGGTTAAAAAATAAAATTAAAAAATGTGGTGTTTGGGTATTTGTGTACACACCGTTAATATGTGAAAGTCTAGATCTTTAGTTGTTCTTCATCCATCGCTTTACCGCTTAAAAGGTACACTTCTCTGACCAAAAGAATCACCGAACGATTTCGACAACTTCCTCTCGATCTTCTTCTTTTCTAATTCTGATCGGTTTTTTTCTGATTCGATATCCACCGTTTGTTTGATTGATCATCGTTCTGGGCTTTGATTTGTTTTTCAGTCTGGATTTCTGATTCTCCGACTCTCCGATTCGTCTTTACGGCGATGCGTTTTGTCATCTGGAATTATTATTCCTTAATCCTTGAATTTGACAGAATCAACAATTGAGGCCGAGATTGATTTCAATTTGAGCTGCTTCTGACGCAATTTCTTCCCTGAGAAAAGACCTTTCATGTACATAAAAAAACAACAAGGTAAATTCGATTTTTATTCAAAGTGAAGCGAGACGCAGATTATGCTTAATTTTGTGTTTGAATTCGTTACTGAGACCCAATTTTCTTTTGATCGGATCAGTGTAGAAATTCGAGAATTTTTAGTCGGAAAATGGTGGGCGCAACTTTGTTTCACCGGAGAAAGCATTCATGGCCGCCTGAGGAATTCATAAACAGAAGTACTCTACAATTAGTAAGTCAATATTTTTAAGATAAGATTCGTTTCCATTTGGGGAAAAAAAAATTTGGAACTTGACTTTATATATTTTTATTTTCAATCAATTTGTAGCTCGATTTCGATAGTGCTGCTCCGCCACCACACGCATGGAGGAGGAGATTAAACTGCCATGCGAATATCTTAAAAGAGTTCACTATAACGTTTAGAGAAGCCATTAAAATGGTACTCCCAAGACTTTTTCGTTATTGTTTTTGCCTTCATTTCGTAGTTCTGTGTGTTTCTTTGATGCCAAAACCTCAAAATGTGATTTGTCCTATAGGTGCGCTTGGGGATACGATTATGGTCTTATGTTAGAGAAGAGGCCTCTCATGGAAGGGTAACTCCTTGGAACCACTAGAATCTCTTGATATACATTCAAAGTTTTGGTCTTTGTTGTGGAGATTTAACTTGTGATTTCTGCAGAAAGCACCTATCGATCCTTTCACCAGGGAGAACTGTAAACCATCCGCATCCCAAGGTGTTCCACTTGGAGGAATGGGGTATATAGCAGCATATAGTCTCTGATTTTTGGTTTTGTTGGCGATATTTTCATAGCTTAGGTTTGATCAGTGCTGTTGGTAATTGCAGAAGTGGAAGCATATCTAGGGGCTTCAGGGGTGAGTTTAAGCAGTGGCAAATTACTCCTGGAACGTGCGATCCATCACCTATGATGTCTAATCAGTTTTCTGTAAGTTTATTCTGTGACCTTACTAGACTTGAGATCAGTGCTTATTGAATCCCTGATTTGTTAGTTCCTTTGTTACATTGTTTTAGTTCCTCAATGTTGATTTTTTTATACTTTCACGGTTTTACTATCTCTGGATCATGCGATGGTAAATTTTCTCGTCCAATTGTTTAGTCGTGAAGAATGATAATTCGTTTGGACCACTGAAAGCGTTGTAATATTTTGCAAGTGCTTAAACATTGTTTCCTGCTATAATCCTCCCTAATGGTTGTTCTTACTTCAATTGTAAATTTTACTCTTGCAAGAAAATTTAATTAGTATGCTTCTATAATAGTAGTTTATTTCCGCAATGAAAATGTTCTTGTTTGTAAAGTATGTGCCAACTTTTTCAGTAATTGTTGTTTTAAACTGTTGTCTTGTGTTTGTTATCACATTTCCTTGGCCCATTCTTTGTAGATTTTTATTTCTCGAGAAGGTGGGCACAAAAAGTATGCATCAGTTTTGGCTCCAGGCCAGCATGGAAGTTTAGGGTAATGATTTGTTTTGTAGTTATCCTCTATATAGAGACGATGCAAGTTTTTTTACTCAATGCACGTACCTTGGACCGGTTTCATGGTCTCAGGAAATCGCGTGATAAGGGTATTTCTTCATGGGGTTGGAATCTGAATGGCCAGCATTCAACTTATCATGCGCTATTTCCTCGGGCCTGGACTATATATGATGGTACCAACCTTTGCGACTTTGTCTCTTAAGGCGAGCATATATCTCTCGGTGTATTACTTGTAATTATACTTCTGTTTTGTAGGTGAGCCTGACCCAGAGTTAAAGATCTCATGTCGTCAAATATCTCCTTTCATACCAAACAATTACCGAGATAGTAGTCTTCCAGCAGCTGTTTTCGTATATACAGTAAGTAATCTTTTCATCTAGTGCATATTCATATGGAGTTGGTGATGCCTCTGTAAATAGGAAAATTTTTAGTTCTAAAAGCATGTGAAATAAGAATGGATATATATTTTTAGCGAACAGCCGTCTAAATATCTTGACCGTGCACATTCCACATGTATGGGTCTGTAGTGATGCTTTTTTCTTAGATGAATATGTTATCAAAGCGCCAATATAGAAGGACCTGCCATGGGCTTGTCATTATAGCTTATTTGCTGGGATATTCCATCTATCTTACTCTTGGGGACATTGTTTAATTACTCTAATTCTGATTGTTTGATGGCGGAGCAAGTTAGTTGATGAACCTCTACATATTTTTTATATCTTAATATTCGAAATGGTAACATGTGTTGAGTGTCAATCACCTTCAAGCAGAATCTGAGGAAAACCTTATGAGTTACTACTTTTGTTTTAGCTGGTGAACACTGGAAAGGAAAGGGCAAAAGTCAGCCTTCTTTTTACTTGGGCGGTGAGTTCGCATTTGATTCATCTCTATTACATTATATCCAGAAGAGCAAATGTTTACCAGTTTCGTATTGTGCAGAACTCAATGGGTGGGACTTCGCATATGTCAGGGGGTCATGTGAATGAGCCATTCATGTAAGGAGAAATATGTGACATCTTTTCCGTAAGTGATTATGGCTTCAAGTCGATGTTTAATTTGTTGTTTGGTTCCTTCTTTCTTTCAGAGGCGAAGATGGGGTTTCCGGTGTCCTCTTACATCACAAGTACGTCATTTTACCTTAATAGCTATCAGTTATTGTTGGTTTAGGAAATGGCAATAGTTGAAGTGTTATTTGTTAGAAGCATCACTCCTTACATTTTAAGTACGCAAATAACTGATCTATTACATGAACAAAAGATGCGATGGTACCAACTCCTCATTGGAAAAATTCGCAACTAAGGACAACCTGTTGGTCAATAGTAAATGCACAACACATAGAGAAAACAATTAGTTAAGCCAAAAGTTTTCCATTCAGTTTGTAGCACCAACATGTTCTCTAAATAGTCTTTTCTCCTAATGTGAATCCCCACTCTACTGTATTTAGACTATTAATGTACCGTTCTTATCTATCTATCCAAGTGTATGCGCGCTACCTTATCTTTATAACGCTTTTGTATTATGATTCGTTCTACTGTTGTGTGACTAGTTGACAATTGATCTCGGAATATCAACTTGTCCATTGCAGTATACTTTTGTAGGATGCCAATATTTGTGCTGTGCATGTGACTTCATGATTTTTTTGTATACTATTATTCTTCTCTTGTGTCTTTCTATTGGATGAGTGGAATGTCTCTCTCTCTCTCTCTCTCTCTCTCTCTCTCTCTCTCTCTCTCTCTCTCTCTCTGCATAAAGGAAGAGCTCCAAGTAAATCCTCTTGCTAAAACAGTTTACGCTGTAGTCCCTTTTTTTAGTGTTTGGCATTGTGTGCTGCCTTATCTATTCACATCTTCCATTGATGAAGTTGATATGGTAGAATATATTATTGTTTCAGGAGAAGGTTGTGTTCTTCTCTAAGCGAATATAGTTGTTTTGAATGTGTGATAATTTTTCAGGACAGGCAAGGGAAACCCTCCAGTTACATTTGCGATCTCTGCTTGTGAGACTCAGAACGTGAATGTGACTGTTTTACCATGCTTTGGATTGTCTGAAGATAGTTCTTTTACAGCAAAGGATATGTGGGATAAAATGGAAAAGGTGAAATTTTCTTTGCATCATCGTTTTCAGACTTTGCTTGTGGATTTCGTACGTTGTCAAAACGTGCTATTGACTCTATAATTGATTTTTGTTCTGAATTGTCAGTCTTATAAGAACATTTGTTTCATATATCTGGAGTAATTGTTATAAAAGAGACTGACATTCGGATATTTTATCTAAAAGGATGGGAAGTTTGATCAAGAAAACTTCAATAGTGGACCGAGCATGCCTTCAGCAGCTGGAGATACTATTTGTGCAGCAGTCTCAGCTTCAGCATGGGTCGAGGCTCATGGCAGGTGCACTGTATCTTTTGCTCTTTCATGGTCATCACCAAAAGTGAAATTTTCAAAGGGAAGCACGTATGACAGGTAAACGAAGTACAACATTTGTGGCATATTCCTAAAATTGTTTTCAAGACGCTCTTAGCCATGTGTCATATTCATTTTTTTTTTATGTCCCAAAAGACTGAATGTGAGAGCTGAAAACAATATTAAGCAAGCTAATGATTAGCATCGTGTTGAACACTAGTTAATATAGGTTGCCACTTCAGAATACTAAAAGTGAAGAGAATGCGTGAATATCTCTTTTTGGCATCGGTTAGTAACAAAGCTAAACATTATAGTTGAATTGACTGTATCAAGTACATGCTTAAAGAAGATAATATATCAACCTATATTTCAGTGTGGTATGTCAAACACCAATTATTATCTGAGTTCTATTCTCTGTCCTTCCTATCTTCGGTTTGCAGGAGATACACTAAATTTTATGGAACTTCACCAAGAGCAGCTGTGGACCTTGTGCATGATGCACTAACACGTATGTATATGTGGTGTCTATGTCTTTGCTTCTTATGCGTTACTTGAGTTGCCACTGTTCTGTTTGGATGTGTACTTATGGATGCTCTTAATTGAAACTATTCCATATTTACACATACACAGAATGGTGCTTGTGTATTAATGACGCTTTGGTTTTTAAATTCAGATTATAAGAGGTGGGAAGAAGATATTGAGGCATGGCAAAATCCCAGTCTCAGAGATGACAGGCTTCCTGAGTGGTAATTGCTTTGGAACCTTTCTTTGTATACTCAAAGCATCGCAGTTACTTTTTTTTTATAGCAAATTTGCATTTCCTGAGCATCACTATGCAAGTTCATGTATTCCATAATTGATTAACTTTTAATACTTAGCTCTCTTATCGTTGTCCTTTGAATTGTATTTATTATTTGTAGGTACAAGTTCACTCTGTTCAATGAGCTTTACTTTTTGGTAGCCGGTGGTACAGTCTGGATAGGTACACATCTATATGCATCAAAGGCAAACTTTGAGTAAAAAAATTTGTGTCTCTGTGACTTAAACAAAATTTTCAAAAAAATTTGTTGTTTCATTTTTTTGTTACCTTGAAAATATTTTTCGACTTTCTCAAACATTTTCTGTTCCAGACTCTGCTTCACTCCATGGCAATAGGAATAACAAGCTTCAACAATCGGATTTAGGAAATTCAAATGGTAAAGCAAGTGGAGTTGACAAAAAAGACCAGCAGAATAACCGTGATAGTAGCGACAGCAATGGAATAAAAAGTAATGGGGAAGCATCAGTTACTCACAAAAAGAATGGTTTATTTGTTGACACTTCGCACGTAGATGATGACGACGATGTTGGTCGGTTTCTGTACTTGGAAGGCGTGGAGTATGTGATGTGGAACACATATGACGTGCACTTTTACGCATCATACGCGCTCCTTATGCTATTTCCGAAGATCGAGCTAAATATCCAGCGGGATTTTGCTAAAGCTGTGTTGTCTGAAGATGGGAGGAAGGTCAAGTTCCTAGCAGAAGGAAACTGGGGAATCCGCAAGGTCAGCGGCGCTGTTCCTCACGATCTAGGGATGCATGATCCGTGGAACGAAATGAATGCCTACAACATACATGACACAAGCAAGTGGAAAGATCTTAACCCAAAGTTTGTGCTTCAGGTGTATAGAGATTTCGCAGCTACAGGGGATTACCAATTTGGAATAGACGTTTGGCCCGCGGTTCGTGCTGCAATGGAGTACATGGAACAGTTTGATAGAGACAATGACGATCTAATAGAGAACGATGGTTTCCCAGATCAGACATATGATACGTGGACTGTTCATGGCGTGAGTGCATACTGTGGTTGCTTGTGGCTAGCTGCGCTTCAAGCTGCAGCGGCAATGGCTCTCCAAATCGGTGATAAGTTCTTTGCAGAACTGTGTAAGAATAAGTTTTTGAACGCAAAGGCAGCACTGGAGACGAAACTCTGGAACGGATCGTACCTGAACTATGACAGTGGGACGAGCAGCAACAGCAAATCCATACAGACTGATCAGCTTGCGGGTCAATGGTATACCGCATCTTCAGGCCTGCCTCCGATTTTCGAGGATTCCAAAATCAAAAGCACATTGCAAAAGATCTTCGATTTCAATGTGATGAAGACCAAAGGAGGCAAAATGGGTGCTGTGAATGGGATGCATCCTGATGGGAAAGTGGACGAGACATGCATGCAGTCGCGTGAGATATGGACAGGTGTCACTTATGCAGCTGCAGCTACTATGATCCTCTCTGGAATGGAAGAACAAGGGTTCACTACTGCTGAAGGAATTTTCACAGCTGGTTGGTCAGAAGAAGGCTTCGGGTAAGTTTATATAGACTGTTCATACACACAAAATGATGCGGCTAGATTCAAGATATCACCATGAATCAAACAACTGCTATACTGACATACACGGATATTAAAGAACTTTGTATATAGTCTTTAAGAATCTGTACATAAGGTCAAAATGTTAGAAACTACTAAACAGTATCCATAAGTTGTAGAACATGTAGAACCACAAATGTTTACTGTGTTAAAAAGTGCAACTGAGTAATACTCGAGCATGGTGATGATGATTTAGGCGTTTGGTTAGGTTTTTGGAGGTTTTATTTGACTCGACCGGTTTGAAACTGGATACAGATATTGGTTCCAGACACCGGAAGGTTGGACAATGGATGGGCATTACAGGTCATTGATATACATGAGACCGCTCGCAATATGGGGAATGCAGTGGGCATTATCGCTGCCAAAGGCAATTCTTGATGCTCCTAAGATCAACATGATGGACAGAGTTCACATGTCCCCTAGAAGCCGTAGATTCTCTCACAGCGTCAAAGTTGTGAAACACAAAGCCAAGTGTTTTGGCAATTCTAAGTTAAGCTGTACCTGCTGAATAAATCAGAGTAACTTAAAAAAAAAAAAAAAAAAAAAGAGGATGATTATTTAAGGAGGAAATAGCCGGACATGGAGGTTCTAGGTTGTTATATAAATTACAGGTGGGAACTATTTCCATTAAAAGATAATGGAAACGTTCTTTGAATGCTGATGTACATTTTGCTGAGAGAGAGAAAGAGAGAGAGTTTATGTTTTGCAGGAAGATGATACGTCTGTGACTCAACTCTTGTTGTTTTTTTGGTTACTAATATTATAACCTGAGAAGAACATTTTGTGTTCAGTCTCCTTATTGGATTTTTTTCAGACTTTTCTGCTTCCATAGAGAAGAAGGAAGAGTGATTCAAGAATGTAAAAAGTCTTTTATTCTTGTTTTGGATTAATCCTGACAACAATTGTATCCTTATGTATCTATCTTTGATGAGAGCTGGTTTCATTTCTCAAGAATAAGGGATTCAAGGACACAAACTCTGTTTCTTGTTGGAACAATGAAGCTTAGTAATAAATGTTTTGGAAACATCTTAATCCATTTCGGTACTTTTTCTCGATCGTGTCTCTTGTCTTAATGATCTCAGCAAAAGAGTTCGCAAAAATTATTTGCAAAAATTGGAAGAAACTCTTCTCCTTCTGCAGAGAATCTTGATATTGATTACTATTCTAGACCGTTAGATGTTTCCTGACAGTACAATACGATAGCGATTTGTGACCGTTAGATCATGACACTAGAAGAATCAAGAAACCAATATATTAATGGTTGAATTTGCTTTTTCTGTCTCACACGGTGAAGGACAAATGTCGGGACCTCAGTGCTGCGAAAACCCGCCGGCTCTTAACCCGGAATCCGGGTCGGGTCATGTCGAGAAGGTGGGTGGGCTAGACGCCTACGTCTCCGGTTCTCCCGATTCCAAATTGTGCGTCCTCCTCATCTCTGATATCTTTGGTAAATCGTACTTCTTCTTCTTCTTCTTCTTTGCTCTGATTTACAAAGTCGTTTGTTTTTTAGTTAAAGACTTGATCGAGTAACAAAGGGTTTTTGATTTGGACCCATTTTGTTGATTTGATCATTTCATCACTGTATTTTGACTTCAGCTTCGTTTGTAATCTTCAGGGTATGAAGCTCCAAACTTGAGGTATGGTATAACTTATTTTTCCCTCTTCATCGATTTGACTATTAAAAATGAAAACTTTTGTAATTTTTGTTTTCAAAGGATTAGATCTCTCAGTTTGAATATATTGCTGGAATAGTTGTTTCTCGTTAGATTTTGCATATGTGTTTGCAAACAGTTTGGTTAACTTTTTTTGTTCAAGATGAAGTCTTTAAGGTTGTCACAATCAAGTTTCTGTCTTATCTGATATCATTGGATATAAGACCTGATAGTTTAGTTGCATTCTCTGCAGCTACTTTGAGTGATGGCTTAGGGTTGTCACAAATTATTGTTTATCGAGTGAAAAAAACTTTTAATGTTATGCTTTAAGGGCTCTTGCGGACAAGGTTGCAGCTTCTGGATTCTATGTTGTGGTGCCTGATTACTTCTATGGAGATCCTTATGATCCCTCTCATCAAGAAAGAGCCATCCCTGTCTGGATCAAAGACCATGGCGCTGTTCGTTCCTTATCATTAATTCAGTTTTCCTCTACATTCTCAACTTTCTTTTTTTGCAGTTTTGTTCTTCTACCACAACATAGAATCCAGTTTTGTTTAGATAGATTCCATCTGAATCAGTTCATCTTTTCTATTCCCAGGACAAGGGCTATGAAGATACAAAGCCAGTACTTGAAGCCATAAAGAGCAAAGGCATAACTGCTATTGGTGCTGCAGGGATGTGTTGGGGTGGTGTGTTTATTTGTCTCTCTTTGTGTTGCTCCGTATGCTCTCTTTGTGACACTCTCTTTCACTACTAATACATCTGGAAATGCCTAATGCATGTTTCTTTTCTCTCCTGTGTTAATAATGATCTTCAGCAAAAGTGGTGGGGGAATTGTCTAAGGAAGAGCTTATCCAAGCAGCTGTTATGCTTCATCCTTCTTTTGTCACAGTTGATGACATCAAAGGTAAGTGACTCTGATAGTCCATCTTGATCCGAGGAACATTAGCTCCCATGCCTCACCTAATGCTTTGTAACATTTAGAGAATCACACGGTTTCTTGCAGGTGGGAAGGTTCCAATTGCTATATTAGGAGCTGAGTTTGATAATATGTCCCCACCATCACTCTTGAAGCAATTTGAGGAGATTCTTGCTTCCAAACCTGAGGCAAGAATATGCTTCTGCAACTCAACAAGTGTTATATATCCTCTTTTTATCTCTTTATAGAACTAAAAACTAACTTAAACTCAAAACGTAATGTGTAGGTGAATAGTTATGTGAAGATATTCCCGAAAGTCTCACATGGTTGGACAGTTCGGTACAACACCGATGACACAGAAGCGGTTAAAGCTGCAGAAGAAGCTCACAAGGAGATGCTTGATTGGTTTGTGACTTACATCAAATGATTGAGAAAGACTCTCTTGAGTGATCTCATTTGCTACATAAATCAAAATAAGGAGAGAGAGTTGAGTATTAAAGCACTCTTTGTTTGTGTATCTCTCTACCCTCTCTATTGTCTCTATAGCTTTTGAAGTTATGTTACCATGTTGTGTGAGTTTGGTCTGTTGATTATGCCTTTTGGTTATCATTGTTTTATGATTGCAAAAAAGTTTTACCAAAATATCATTTGAATCGCAAACTTTTTCTTCGATACTAAAAGAGATTGGATTATTTTTCTTATAATCTTATAAAGAAAATCTTGTCATTAAGAATTCGGCTTATAAAATTTTATTTAAGAATAAATGGTACTGTCTCAAATACAGAAAATATCTAAACAGAAAAATAAAGCTCAATTTTATATAGGGTTAATTTGTGAAATAACCATATTACATTATAAAATAAAGTATATAATTATACTAATTTCATAATTAATTCAATAACTAAAAACCCTAAAATTTGTCTATTTTGTCCTTTAAACAAAATTTATAAATACATAATTATAGTATACTATATCGATTTATATTATCATACTATAAATAATTTTGTTTTCAATTAAAAAAAATTATAGATTTGGTAAAAAATGAAAAAGAGCGTCGAATATCTATAAATTTATTTTGTTGACAAATAAAATCTAAATTATATTTTCAAGGAAAAGGAAAATATCGTTCTCTCTCTCTCCACGCTTCTATATATAAAAAAGCAGTATTGACGAGCTGCCATCGCCAAAATCCACTCAAGACTCTCTCGTTTTTCGTCTGGGCTCCTGAAAAGATTAGGGTTTTTCTCCTAAATTCCATCGAAATCAACAGATCGATTTCGATCAATGGCGAAAAGACTATTCTCGATGGTCGAATGCCAATCGTTACTGGAGAATTTATCGCCGTTCGTTGATACCAAACGCTCAAAACGCTGCCCAGACGCAGCGGCAGCGACCGAGCCCGAGAGTAGTACATGTTTATTGTCGAACGCGTTTATCGGGTTCCCGGAATTGCCTGAAGAGCCAAGTAGCGGTTCCAATCGAAGCGTTCTGTGCAGAATCTGCGTTCGATTGCCCGACGGGAGGAAAGTGCAGCGAAATTTCCTCAGATCAGAATCGGTTCAGCTTCTCTGGTCGTTTTGCTATTCCCAGATTGATCAATCGGAGAGGAAGAAGCCGTTCAAGCTGATTCAAGCGTTCCCCGGTGAATATAAGACTCTTTATTACGGATCTAACACGAGTTTCGAACAATCTGGGCTCGCCAACTCGTTGATCTCGGTGACTTGGGCGTGAAGAAGGTCTTTGATTTATCTAAACAAGAAAAAAAAAATTGGATTTGTAATTAGAACGTTGTGGTGATTCTACTCTCTTATATTCTGCGTTTTTTGGCTGTCACTCAGTTTATCGATTGTAATTTCTCGTGGAAACAGATTTGACATCGGAAAGTTCATCGGATTCTCAATTGTTGAATAGTATTTATTGTTAAAAATCCGATCAAATCGGTAACACTGTTTCAAAGACAAAATCATAGAAGATGTACATAACCTTTCGTGTTTGTTAACCTTTTTTTTATGTCACTATTTGGATTTAATCAATTACCAAATTTTGAGATGACAAACGATTTTATTTTTTTTCTATTGACAAATTTCATTGATTTCTAATCTGAATGCCAAAGTCAATATGAAGACTGTTTGTAATGCGACATATTTAATAGTGAGAGTTGAGTATAATACACCCAAAGAACAAAAATTATCCGAAGTAAAGCTTTACTCGTATTTGATACTCTGATGCAAATTGTGAATGTGTGGATAGCATCTTAAAATCCAATGTTTTTTTCTTTCTAGTATTTCTTTGTTACTCTGATGCAAATAACATCTCTTGGTTGAAACCTCCAAATTGCAAACTTCATGATTAAATCTAATGCATCCAATGTAACTTTCTGCTGAAACTTCAACAATATGATACCAACGTTTGCATATAAGTGTCATTTTAACAAAATTTGACTTTTAATTTCTCCCTTTTGAAATCAAGCGTTTTTTGATAATGGATTTTATCTTTTGTATCTCTTGTTGAACAATTTAGTTTTGACGAGTCTTATTTTTATATGTTCTTTTGTTTCATTGTATATTTTAACTTTTGCGAGTATTTCACAGCTGAAGAATGCATTTCGAAAAAATATAAAACACAACCTAAGATGTGAAATAACAAGTGAAAAAGGTTTTATTTCTCTTGTTGAACAATTTAGTTTTGATGAGTCTCATTTTTATATGTTTTTTGGTTTCATTGTATATTTTGGTTTTAAAAGTATTTTACAGTTGAATAAAGCATTTCGAAAAGATGTAGAAATACACCCTAGGATGTAAAAGAAGAAGTTTATAAATTCAGTTGAAAAAAGTTGTCCAATTGCAAAATATATATATTAAGCTATTTGAACTTAGAATGTTAGATTTTATTTAAATCTGTAGTTACTTATCTTAATCGTTATTTCAACATTAACTTTTATGTAATTTATCTTTTTTACAGAGTATATATAATAGAAAATACAATAGTTACCCAATTGTTAGTAATTGAAATGAGGTTTTACTGATATAATTAAAACTAATATTTTTTGTATATTTTCACGATAAAGATTACTTTGCATATGCTTGAAGAAAAATAAAATGTTCATAATTTTTTTAATTTCTAAATGCTTTTTTCAATTTTTTTCAATTTTTCTATTAAATCTATATCAATTTTGAGTGATAAAATACATTGCTAATCAACCTTTAGTACCAAAATTGCACTGTTTAGTGATGGCTGGATTTATTCAGGTGGCTTATGCAATTTGGTTCATATGTGTTGGTGTTTGATCGAATCTAAAAAGAAAACATTACATGTAATCACCTAAAATACCTGAAACCAAATTTGTTCTTTACCCCATCTAGATAGTAATCATTGGAATTACTCGTCAATTTCATACATTAGAATAGTATTTTATGCTATATATATTTATTTTCTGTTGGAAACATATTTATTTAGAAAAGTTCAAAAAAAAAATTTATTTAGATTAAATTGTAATTAGAATACAAAATGTTTGAGTGCCGTGGAGGTATGTTAGTAGAATCAGAATAAAAAACTCCATTCAAAGGTCTATATTTAGCTAAAGTATGGGTAACCTCGTTACAAATTCTTTTTACATGAGTTACATTATAAATTTAAAACTTATTGAACCAAATATTAATATCATCAATAAGGTTGGAGATGGTAATATCATTTTCATTCATTTGAAGCAAATGGACTAAGACTTGACAATCTCCTTCAATCCATGTTCTATATATAGTAAAATAATTATTAAATAAAATTTGTATAATTTTAATTTAATGTTAGATTTTACTACATTATATAATATATAAAAGTTGATGGCATAGTGCACTGAAGACGTTCACATGAGATTAAAAAACTTGATCTGATTGGTCAACACAGCATATTCATTAAATAAAAAAATGTTAAGTATGATTAGGATGGAAAAACTTGATTTAATTGATCCACATCACCATTTTTTTTCCTTCTCCATCATGTCTTCCAAGAATTTTATGTTATATTTTTATTCAGTTTTCATTATTTTAATTGTTAGATCAAGTTATTGTAGATTTTTTAAAATTGATAATTGATAATGGTTAAACATGCACTATATAAATTATCCGCATCCATTTATTAGATAGAAGAACCCCAAAATTTACGAAACTCCCTAAAGTCCAAATTCCAGCAAATTTCCAGAAAATTAAAACGATGTACTCCAACTACGACATAGAGCATGTATGGCACCATCACCGGAAGATGGCGTTGTTGACGAAGACGGCGGCGACGATGACTGAGTCGTAGTTCGAGATGGACATGGAAGAAGACAAAAACCGTCTGAAATGGGAGCTCTCCCTCGGAGGTGAACCAGACATACCACACAGAGGAGGTGAACCGACCAACAGTGAACCATGACCAAGGGGAGGCGGCAGCGGCGAAACAGGAAAAAACTTGATCTGATTTGTTCATATTAGTAATTTTCATTAAATCAAAAAATATTACGTATGATTAGGACAAAGAAACTCAATCTGATTGGTACACATCAGCGTTTTCATTAAGACAACAAAATTATATTTGACTAGCAATTTAAATAAATTAAAATATACAAAAAATAAAAAACTCTCATATTAAAATGAAAAATCAAGATCAAAAATGTTTAATTAACTAAACAGATTAAATAAAATTATGTCAAAAATCCAAATTTATAATGTCTATCAAAATAACATAGAAATCCAATATCACAAAAATATGGAAATCAATAACAAAGAGGTTAAATTTGAAAAAAAAATAAACAAGTTTTTAACTCATAAAAGTAAAACAAAAACTTAGCTAACAAAAAAAAATGAAGCTTTAAGCTAACTATTTAAGAAACTAATATAAAAAATAAACAAAAAAATAAAAAATTAATTATGTTTTACAAAATATTCATACAAAAATATAACAAAATATGTAAAAGTTATTTAAAAAAAATCATTGAAAAAACTGACTATTTAAAAATTAATATAAATTAGTCTCGTTAACAGAAAAATAAAATTATGTATGTAAAATATTAATATTTTCAAAAACATATTTCAAAATAAAATAAGAATTATAATTAAAAGAGGTAAATTAACAAATAAAAAATTGTATAAAAGAAAACTAACTTGATGTTTAGGCTAACTTTTTTAAAAAATCAACATAAAAAAACTAACTAAGAAAATCCAAATGAAGTTAAAAGCTTTTGAGAGAAGTCCGCATAAGATTTAAAATAAACAGTTATAACATGTTAAATCAGCATTATAACTAAAATAAAAAATAATATGAAAAACAAATTTAACAAACAAAAGTATTCGTGTACAAGAAATTAACATGATGTATTTGCTACCTATTTTGAAATTGAACAATAAAAGTGTTTAATAAAGTTAAAAAGGGCCTAAGTATATCAAACATACAAAAAATTGTATAAATTAAAATAAAATATAAAATTACTCACAAAATGTAAAGTATATATATAAAAAAACTAATTTAAAATTAGTTTCAAAATTTTCCTGATTTCTAAAATAGTGGTATCGAAAATGAAAAATTATCTAAAGTAGCAGTTGGTTTACATGAGTTTCTAAATCAAATATATTTTTTAAATATAAAAATATTAAAACACTGTGTGATTTAAAAATAACAAAGAAAGACAGTACATAAGTATATTTACACTTCTTTGACCAAAAAAAAGTAAATTTACACTTCAAATTTAACAAGTAATAAAATCTGATTTCTATACATAGCTACTACCTATATCAGAACCAACATTAATAACACATATAACACATATTCTAAAATTCTATTTAAATAATAAAGTACGACAGATATATGAATCAAACACAAATTAGTATATGAAGCTAAAATATTCAAATGAAACATGCAGAAAGCACACAAAAAATAAATATAGTAAAAATAATGTGAAGACTCCACACCATCAATACTACAACTTTCAAAATTAAAATTTTCAAATATTAGAGTGCAAAAAAAAAAATTAAAATAATAAACTGAATAAAAATATAAGTTAAAATTCGTGGTAGACCTGAAGTAGATGCAAGAAACGGCTTTGCATAATCATTGCAGCTTCCTAACAAAACTAAATGCGAATTAATATGAATAATAAATTATACATGCATAGGTATACAACATCAATGAGACATTCAATAAAAAACTAAATATTTGAACATAAAAACTTTAAAGAAAAAAACTCTAGAAATCATATAGAAAACAAAACAAAACATCAAGATCTTAGCAAGAAAATATTTCACTAAATCAAATTTATGTGTATGTCAAAGTTAGATAATTCGATAGGTGTCATTGTTGTTATTTATTAAATAAGATTTTAAAAATTATAAATAAAAATAGGAGAAAACTGTAAACTCTATTTGAAATTCTATTATATAAACAAATTTCTATAATATATTATAGTTTGATAATTTAAAAGATATTAGCAAAAAAAAAATTGACGAAACTGCGGAAGCATTACAGAATTATTATGAAGCTATGCGACTAGAAAGATCAGTTAGTCTACCATATTTTTTCTTAAAAAAAAGATAAGAAAAACGTTGTTCTAGGGGGGGGTGATCCCTGCCGGTACAGGATTCCCTTCCAGGCGATCGGAAAATAAAGAAATAGTTACAGACTAGCGTATAGCGCGAGGTATAAACCTAGTTTATAGTTAAGTATCAAATGTTTTTGGATGAGAAATATTACTTTTAACATTTTTTTACTTTTGTTTAATAAATTAATCTGAAAAAAATAATTTTATATTTTTCTATATTAAATGATGATTTATATCTTAAATAGTTAATTTTATTTAGAGAAAATCTGGAAAAATACACCAAAACTAGTTTATAATTTAAACACTACCTCTTTATTTTTTTAAATTAAAATTAATTATATTTTAATTGACTAAATTAATTTTATTTTGAATTATTATAATTTAAAATTTATTTAACCAACTTAAAATAAACTAATATTTTAAAACTAAATAATATTTAATTAGATTTTACATTATTTATAAATTCTAAAAACTTAATTTTATACTAATCTATAGAATATTCTACTAAAATATATTTTGAATGGGGAAAAAGAAAAAGTGAATCTTAATTTTTTATATACTCTATATTTATCTATACATAATTCTACTAAAATTAATTTTAAATTTATATAGACAATTTTTAAATATTAAGTTTTATCTGAAATAAAATTTATCTAAATTAATGATTTATATTAATATAAAATTTAGAAAAAATTCTCAGATTTATCTAATTAAATATCTCTAATATATTTAATTTTCGATTTTAATCTTTATTTATAAAAATATGTATTATTAAAGCCTGGTCAAAATATTTTTTTATATATCAATAAATTTAGTTATAAAAAATTAAAACAGTGTATTTTTCAAATTACAAATGTTTATTAGGATAGTTTGCCAATTGCCCCTTTTATTTTTAATCAGATGAATATATTAATTTTTGATTTTTTGATTTTTCTTGTTTTGAAGAAAAATTAGTTAACTATATCAAATAAAAATGAGAAAATGAGAAAAAACATTTTTACTATGGGTTTATGAAAGTATATCTTCTAACCTTTTGTTTATTTTCACTAAATTAACCTTAACCAATTAATTAAATATATATATATATATATATATATATATCAAAAACAAAAAAATATAGAAAATTCATAAAGACCATAATAGAAAATTCATAATCTTTAGTTTTTCAAAAAAATTACAAATAAATATTTGTGTCCTGTTCTATAAATTTTTGAATACATCTTTTAAATTTTAAATTTGTCCAGCGAAGTTTACAATATATATTCTGCATTTGGTATATATATTATAAAGTTTAGAATATATATTCTTTATTTTGCACATGTTTTACGATAAACTAGGTTACCGTCCGCGTCATACGCGGGCAAATAACATTTACAAATTTTTGTATTTGTTATTTAAATTTTTATAAGCCAAATTTTTAAAACTGTCATGGAGCATCGATCCAATTGATTATACTGCTATACAAAAAGAAAAAGAAAAAAAAAACAGTGTGCTAATATTTCAACCACATCGAAAGACAAAAACAGAGCTGTATGACTGATTAAGAACCAATATTTCAAGAAAAAGAAATCAGATGTAAGAAAAAAGAAAAAAAAATTCAGATGCAAGAATAGATAACAGAATAATTATTTTGTTGAACTCTCTAATCTCGCCTATTCAATCGACACACTCTGCACCAACTAATATATTATTCACTCAACCAATCCCAAAATAATCCATATCATGTCTGGAAAAAAAAGAAAAAAAAACAGAAGAATTTCTGTGAATTATAACAAAGTCCCATAGACTCTCTGACCAAATCAAAACAGAGCAAAGACGTTCAAAGAAAATGAATACCGGAATTTAAGATGAAGAGAAACTTATATTTGTAGAACAACAATCTTAGCAAGTGAAGAAGAGATCACCATTAAATGCAGTGTTAGTTAGTTGTCTGTTGATACACTTCCATCCCTTAAACCAGTAGTAATATGAATCAGTACCATATGAAAATTGTATCTCACTTGGATATCGCAACGAAATCTCTATATGTATCTCACTAATCCTCTACAAACAAAACTTAACATCACTATCTCATCCCAAATCCTTTGAAAATTATGAAGCCAAAAATCTTTTGATTCTCTCACCCTCTTCTGCATATCAGATGGTTCCGATTTTGATTGAGACGTAACTATTTTTTTAGCTTTATCGTTTGAAGAGACAGATGTTGAACGTCATAGAGCCATTGTTTTTAGAAAGAACATATGAGATTGAAAAAACCCTAGGAATAGGCGATTATGGTTCTAATCTTGTGGCCAAAGAAATTTAGGATTTTTTAATAAATGATGATTAAAGAGATTTAACCTCATAATTTTTTTCTTTGTGAAAGGTTTAATCCCTTCAAAATCAGATTTAACCTCACAATTTAAAGAGATTATGGTTCTTATTAATTTTTTAAAAAATTAAATTTAGCCGAAAATAATAACATAATCTAATATTTATTTATAAGATTAGATTAAATTAGCCTAAGAAAATAATTAAGTTTTTATCTAGAATATAGATAAATAAATAATCAATATATTTCATTAAGGATAATTAAAATAAATTCACATGAGGAGTAAAGGGTAATCAACCATTATAACTCTTAACCACAGCCCAACTTGTTTAACCTCATAATTTTTTTCTTTGTGAAAGGATTTAATCCCTTCAAAATCAGATTTAACCTCACAATTTAAAGAGATTAGGGTTCTTATTAATTTTTTAAAAAATTAAATTTAGCCAAAAATAATAACATAATCTAATATTTATTTATAAGATTAGATTAAATTAGCCTAAGAAAATAATTAGGTTTTTTATCTAGAATATAGATAAATAAATAATCAATATATTTCATTAAGGGTAATTAAAGTAAATTCATATGAGGAGCAAAAGGTAATCATCCATTATAACTCTTAACCACAGTCCAACTTGCTTGCCAATTAATAATACTAGGTTTTTAACTCACGCTATATTAATAATTTAGTTTAATTTTTTTGGCTAATATCTTTTAAATTATCTAAACAATAATATATTTATAGAAATTTTCTTTTCTATAAAAAAATTAAAACATAATATGTAGTATTTCTAATTTTTGTTTATAAAATTATAAATCTTATTAAGTATAATCATAGTAATGATACCTAACGAATTATCCAACTTTGATGTGCATATGTTTGATTTAGAAAATGATTTCCTTACTAAAAATGATTTTATTTTATATTTAATGAAAAATATTCATATGGACCAATCAAATTGAGTTTTTATGTCCTATGTGGACGCTCTCATTGGCATAACACATCAATACAAATACAACTAATATATTTTAAGTTATCAGTTCAAATTTTAATTGTTTATCATAATTAAAAATTTGAAATAGTTAAATTATGGTCTTCTATACAGGTTTTAACTATTTTGTTCAATATATATATGAATTTTCTTTAATAATCTATTTATATATTAATTTATTTTTATTGTTAATAGAAAAAAATGATCGACTTTTTAATCTCTTTCTTATTAATAAGTAACTTAAAATTTAGAAATTTTCCTAATAACAACAAAAACAAAATTAATTAAAATTTAAAAAAATTCCGTATTAGAAAAACGAAATTAATTAATTTTAATATATAATATATAATATATAATTTATTATATATGATGATGATGTGTATCAATAGAATCTTTAAATCCTATATGGACAACTTTAGATGCATTTAACATCAACTTTTATTAGTAATAGATGATTGGTTTTTTTTTCAATTTTCCCAAAAAAAATAATTGGATTATCTATTTTTCTTGTAAGTTGGAAAATTATAAGTCTGAAGCGTTTACATTTACTACTATACTAGGACTTGGATAAATAAATAAATAATTAGACTTTTGTCCTTGAGAAAATAAATTTTATCTTTTAGCCCCTTGTACTGTTGTACATGATACTTCCCTCTCCTCCTTCCCCAAAAAATCTGGAGAACCATGCAGTTGCGAATTTCATCCACCATTTTCCCCGATTTGTTTTGTTCTTCTTCTTCTTCTTCTCCTCTTGTTTGTCGAATTCGTTCCTTCTTCTTCAATGTAAGATCTTCTTCCTTCTCCGTATATAATCTGATCATTGAAGAATTTCACAGGATGATGCCACTCGTAGATTTTGGATTCATACCTGCGAAATTGCTATTTTTTTCCGATTTCATTATTTCGGATCATCTCATACCCAATTTCCTCTGAATTATATTTTTGATTGTTCTTATATGATGGAATTGTTGAATCAATTTTCGTTTCATTCAAGGTTTTCTATAAATTCAATTCCATTTTCTGCATTTCAGGAGTTCTAGAGACAGAGGATCCGATTCTTCGTTACCAGCAATAGATCAGTATAACGAAACCGTGAAGAATCAAATTCAAGCACTTGCTCGTGTTATCAAACTTGCTCGTACCTATAGAGATGACAATGTCCCATCCCAAATCGAAGAGGTCCCTCTCACAGATTTTCATTTCATGTTTATTGTTTTCTTTCTTCTGCAGCCAAATTCTCAGATTCTCAGTATGATTGAAATTGAATTAACCTTTGTTCAGGGTCTCTATCTTGGATCCGTTGCAGCAGCTTGCAACAAGAATGCCTTGAAGTCTTTCAACGTTACACATATCTTAACCGTAGCTAGCTCCTTGAGCCCAGCTCACCCTGATGACTTTGTCTACAAGGTTGTTCGAGGTACAGAACAAATTGTAAAGGTTTCTCCTTGTTTATCTTCTTAATGTGTGTTTTTGTGTGCCCTTTGGGATTTTGAATTGCTTGTTGTGTGTTTATAGTTGTGGATAAGGAAGACACGAACTTGGAGATATACTTCGATGAGTGTTTCGATTTCATTGATGAAGCCAAGAGACAAGGCGGTAGCGTTCTTGTGCATTGCTTCATCGGAAAATCTCGGAGGTTGGTTTCTTTGATATATTCAGCCTTTTATGTTCTTGAATCTTGGACAGATTTATCAAAACCCTGAGTGTTTTGATCCTTTGCACTTGCAGTGTCACTATAGTTGTTGCTTACCTGATGAAGAAACACGGTATGACGTTAACCCAAGCATTGCAACATGTTAAGAGCAAAAGACCCGTGGCAAGTCCTAATTCCGGTTTCATCAGGCAATTACAAGACCTCGAAAAGTCTCTGCAAGGTTTGTCTTCTCTCTCTGTATCTCGCAACTAATAATGCTCACACTTAGTATGGCATCTTGGGGGTGTTCTTGCGATCTCTTTGGTGAATCTAAAGTCGGAGATTATGTACACTTTGTGTGATGCAATAGTAAAGGAAGATTTGAGTGACAAGAGTTGTTCCATTTGAGGATGAAAAAGCAAGTGTTGTGGTGGAACAAGACGGTTCATGTAAATAACTCTTCTTACCCTGCATCTTCCTCTCTCTCTTTAAAGCAGGGAAGCAAGAAGTGATTTCACAATGTCAAGCGTGAAGAACCAACAAAGATCGTGTCTTTTGGGGAAAACTTGTAAATCTCACACGAAGCATCATATGTTTTGTTGTTTCACCTTAACAACTCTACAAAACATGGAAACGATTCCGTAAAGTTTCAGTGTTTTTAATGTCATAAGCTTATGCAAAATTTGTAAACATTTTGTGAACGAACGTCCCAAAATGTTAGTTGCGGTAAAAGTTTCATGGGCCTTCGTCAATTTGAGCCCATCGTGGACCTTGCGAAACTTTGGGGTCTCATCTATGAAAATAAGAACTTGGGGCTGAATGGGAAATTACTTAATAACAAGTGGGTCATATGACAATTCTCCATAAGTTGCTTCCAATTGTGAAGTTAAAACCCTAGGCTCCATATATCAATAATCGAAAAACCTCTTCTTCATCTTCCTTCCTCTTTTCTTTTCGGAGCCGTCGTCGCTTTGTAAAATTTATCAGTCATGATGGAAATACGAACTGCGAAGACACACAAAGGCAAGCGTGTACTCGAGACGCGAGCTCCTAAGTTGGTGAGTTTTTTCTCAGTCTCCTTCTTATGCGCTTGATTCGTTGTTTCGATTTCTCTGAAACTCTGCTGGAATACAAATATATACTTTAAGCTTATACAATGACAAGTGAATCATGTTTTAAGCTGTGTCAGTTTCAATTTCTCTGGAATTTTTTTTTATGAAGAATCGTTAGAAAGTTAATCACTTTGTTATCTGAATTGTTGAATCTTAATCTGCACTAAATCATGGAATCGCAGGTTGAAACTGGAAAGAAGACATTGATACTTCATGGAACAAAGACGAGCGCTACGATTAGCTCTGTGTTGATGGAGCTGTACCGGCTTAAGAAGGGAGGCGCCATTAAATACTCGAGGAGGAATGAGAACATTAGGCCCTTTGAGAGTGGAGGTGAAACCTCATTGGAGTTCTTCTCTCTCAAAACTGATTGTAGCATTTTTGTGGTAAGCTTTTTTTTCCGATATACTCTTTACAACAGAATCTGATTTGTATATCATTTTGATTCTGTAATTATCTTTAGGCGTCCATTTTGTGTAGCTATGAATTGCTTTATATATTCAACATTTCTTATGGATTCTTGATAATTTGTAGATCCTGTGACTATAGTTCATATTATTGCATCCTGTTTCTGTCTTGTTAGCTTTTGTAGATTTTCTTTTGGCGTCATTTGGTTGAAGTTAAACTTGTTTTTAGAAATGGCTTAACTTAATCTCGTGCTTCATTTTCGAAATGTATCAGCAAACTAGTTCTTTGTTGTTGAGTCCTAACAGTTGGTTTGGCGAATGTTATTATGATTGCAGTATGGCTCTCACTCAAAGAAACGCCCTGACAATCTTCTACTTGGGAGAATGTACGATCACCATGTCTACGATCTTATAGAAGTTGGGATTGAGAACTTCAAGTCCTTGCTATCGTTTTCCTACGACAAGAAACTAGCACCTCATGAAGGATCAAAGCCTTTCATTTGCTTTACTGGAGAAGGTTTTGAGAACGTACCAGAGCTCAGGCAGCTTAAAGAAGTCCTCACTGATCTGTTTCGAGGCGAGGTGAGTTTTGTGTTTTTTTTGGCAGCTAACTCCTTAAACCAAAGTGGAGGAATGTGATTTCACATTTATGGTTCTCAATTTCTGATCTATATGAACGTGTTTTGTGTGCAGGTTGTGGATAATATAAACCTGACTGGATTAGACCGTGCTTACATATGTTCAGCGATATCACCAACTAAGGTTTTCCTCACGCATTGCGCAATTAAGCTTAAGAAGTCAGGGACCATCGTGCCTAGAATAGAGCTTGTTGAAGTCGGTCCATCCATGGATTTGGTTATCCGGCGTAATCGTCTTCCTAACGAAGGCCTAAGGAAAGAAGCAATGAAGACATCCAAAGATAAGCCTAAGAAGAAGGTGAAATTAACTTAAACAAACATAATTTTTTTCGGAACTTTTCGTCTCGTGTTTCCTAATGGATGACTACATCGTTTTCTGTTTTGTGTATGATTCTGCAGATCAAGAACGTTGAACAAAACGAAGTTCGAGGGAAGCTTGGGAAGATTTATATGCCAGATCAGAATGTAAGAAAGATAGTTTTGTTAGATAAATTATGCAAAGCTTCAGATCTCTGGAGATGATCAATATCTGGAAACTGATTGTTTTCAATTTTTTTGTGTAGGTTGGGAAAATTCCATTGCCGGATAAATCTAAGGGGGTGAAGAGAGAGCGGAGAGAGGCTAAGCTGAAGCATAAGGAAGAAGGTTCTGCTTCCAAAAAGCAAAAAGAGTCTGAGTAACTCCATAAAAACCCACTCGTGGCTATATCCAACAGTAGTTCAATGTTGAGATGATTTTGCAGTGTAACATGTGGTGTTTTTTTTACCATTAGAATCTATTTCTGAATGTTTTTATACGCTTATATTTATCGAGATAATTTTGTTTAAGTTTCTGCAGCAAAAGAAAATGTTAAAGAAAGAACACTAGCATTTGGTCCTTTATCCGATTACTACAACCTAAAAAGTAAAAAAGAACCAAGTTTCTCTCTTGTTTTGTTACTGCTTCGAGCATAGAGTGTGGCTTCTCGTCGTTTGTGATTGAAAAATCATTTTAATATTTCTTGGAAATTCGTTTTTAAGAAACCTAGAAAAGTGGAAAATGGAATAGATTTGTGAAAGAAAAAAACAGTAGAGGTAAAAAGAATACGTCCCCTCCTCACTTTTTTTTAGTTTTTAGACTTTTAGGTGAATATTCTTATGTTCTTGTTATTAATTACTCGTTATTTAGGCTAAAAGAATTAGTTTTGGTTACACAATAGAGTAGGAGGGTGGTCCAAATATGTTAAAATGATGATTAAATTGGTGTATTTTTTTTTACCTACCAACTTTTAAATGATATTGACTGATTCTGATCTATATTTGAGTTCAAATTTCAAAGCCTAACTAAGCTTTTATTCAGTTAGCCGTCTCTATCTTTCACACTAGGCTTATACCTTCTCTAGAATTAAAAATCTACCCCTATGGTGTCTTCATCATTTTTTTTTTTCAGTTTTATATGTTATATACATTTGAAACCAAACCAAATTGTAACCATAGAAGAGAAGAAAAATGGCGAAAATTTAGGAAATGAAACAAAATTTTAAAGTCGACAAACGGTAAATTAAGAAAACAAATATGGTTTTGTAAAAAAAAAAACAAATATGGATTATGAAATGAGAATTTGAGACAAAATTTGCGGAAACAGATTCGATACAAATCGAAAAATATGAATGAATCATTTTTCTTTTTAGTTGTCTTTCAAATTAATTGAAAATGGAATGGAAATGAGGGAGGAAAGAAACAAAAACTTCAGTATCCTATATAAACTCTGTTTTAAAAGAAGAAAAAAATATGAACAAAAAAAAATCATTATATTTCCTTCGAAAAAGGTAAATCAAAAGATTTAGAACTATGCAATTATTTTGATTTAAAGAGTCATATGACTCGAATTGCGAAAGGCTCCAAAGTAATTTTATGTACATAAACAAACAAAGAATATGTTTAGTTATTTTTAAGTATACTGTACATATTGATCTATTTTAATTATATAATATAAATATTTGGGACATACACCTCAAATCCATTATATATTAATTACGCACACTGTTTGGGAAATTGTTATAATGTTATTCCTCTCTATACGCGTAGAAAGACAGTCCATTTGTATTACAAGTTTCGACTCAATGCATGCACGTATACCGTTTGTACACCATCGGTGGTCACCTGGAAACAAATTTGACTAATATTAAATATACACCGATTTGTATCTGTTTATAGAATTTCGAAGTCAACGACACACACACACGCACATATTTTGTATATAAAACTACAAAATACATATCTAAATTATATATAGAACAGAACATCTCTATATCATAACCATTTTCACTCTCATTTTATTCTATTTTTTAATAGTTGGGAATCTTTCAATTTATTGGATTTTTATTTCTTTATGAAGTTCGAGTTTATTGGAATTCTATCTCGATGTGATGTGCAATGTTAATTGTAGTGGTTAGTACGAGTTGGATTAAAAGGGGATTGATTGGTAGATGCAGTTTTGAAGATTGTTAGAACTTTTAATTTCAACGGTTAAAGTCCACATATATTAAGAATGTTATTACTATCACCACTTCACGATCACTAATTCATCATCACTTTTTAGTACTCCCACAAATGTTTCAGCAAATTAACAAATTGAAACTTTAAGACTCGTTAATGATGACTAATTGCACGCTGAGAGCAACCATAAGCAACGACTTCTTGTGCAATCATTAGTAGTTTATTATCATGTGATCACCAACAATATGCATCAGATTTTTAACTTTTCTTGAAAATTTTATTAAGCCATCTTTATTGGAAATTTGAATTCTTCTGTCCACGTATAATGGTTCTTCAATTCTTCATCGTTCCAATTATCACTAACAGCCAACAACATCAGTAGCAAATGGATGCTACTTCCACTATAAGTTTTCAATTTACAACGAGATAAAAATTCATAATAATCAGTAGCTTAAATAATTGGAAGAGGGATGATACAAATATTAAATATCAGTAAGCCATATTGATCATTACTCAAGCAAACTAAAAACCTAATCTTTTTTAAAAATGCAATATAAAACCTCATAATTAATCTTGACGGATCATTTGTATAGATAATTAAGATAATAAATGATGTTGAAAAAAGTATAGCGTATAGATAATATATAATTTTGGGCAAGTTGTTTTGTATAGATAATATAGATGATGTTAAAAGAATATAATGTTATTAACGATTCTTCCATTAAAAATGTAAAGAAACTTTGGACACATAAAAAAGTAGTTATCTACTGCATAGATTGTGTGGTTACACGTACGATGCGATGATTTGTGCTCTTTTGCCATCCTTTCTTTTCAGTTTTGTGTGTATTTAATTAACTAATATCTGTATTATATAACCAAACTTAGTACCTCAATCATATAACTAATATATTTATTATCAATTATTTCTGGTACACTGGTAGGGATAGATTTAACGATGGCTGGAGAAAATATTATGCAAAAAGATACAACTTTTAAGTATAAAATTGTGTATGTTTTTTTTTGTAACAGTCTTAATTCTTAGAATAATTCAGATATCCAAATGGGTGAAATTAAATAAATTATAGAGAAATTGTACTAGATGGCTAAAGACTGGTAGTGAATTAGGGAATTGACTATTGTTTTTCAATCACTCGAGCATTAAAATATTTCATCACATTCTCTCTCCAAAATATCCTCACGCGTTATCCATTTGTATCATGTTATTCTACTGGATATTTATTTGATTACAACAATTGTTCATTTTGTCTTTATCTATTTGTCATCCACCTCTTTATCTTTCTTCAACAATGTATTTCTTTTTCTCTTTTGGTACCTTTTGACCTCAATTTCCTTCCTTTCAACGACACCATCTCGGTGGCTCCAATAAGACCAAGATGATCTCATTACTTATTTCCGATATGACCATCACCGCCTCAGCCAAATCTTCACTCTTCACATCATTGGCATCGTTCTCGCTACTCGTCCACATGCATCTCCGAGAACGGAAAATCTTCTCAAAAGAATCAATATACCATCAGATATGGGGTTGAGCCATCAACTTTTCTGCCGAAACCTAACTTATGAGATTCTCCATTTTTTTCCTAAGTAAGATTTTTTTCTCACACTCATTGTTGGATTTTCGAGATCATATTCGATTGATCTCGCTCTATGGATTGATTAACTGAGCGATCGCTCTAATCCAGCATTTCAAGCTATTGCTTTGATCGTGTTCTCACATCTGTCAGATCTCAAATATTTGTATATATCATATGTTGAACACATATATGCTATGTCAGTTTATGTATGCTTACTTTACTTTTTACAAATCTATATTCTTTAATGGAAGTATATATATTTATGTGAACATATATGTATGTAGCTTATATTGAATATATACCATAACTTGCATGTTTATCTGATTTTATTGTATATCTAAATCACAATATAGAGTTCACATTTAAATAAGTAAATTATTTTGGATAAATATTCATTTATCACCTTAGTTAGACCTTAAAAAATATCATTTAAAATTATTTAGTTATCTGATTTCATTAGATATCTAAATCACAGTATAGAGTTCACATTTATATATGTACATCATCTCGGATAAATAGACATCCATCACCGCACTTAGATCTTACAAAACATTACCTAAACTTGTCTGTTTATCTGATAACTTTTTACTATCCTTTACTGCGCAGGTATGGCTACCAATGATCTCATGCATCGTCTATTTACCGATCATCACGAGCCAATGGGTGGCAGGGTCAACTCGTACTTTAAGCTTGAATCAATTGGTGCTGTTCTCAAAGCCCTCACACCAGAGGAACTGAATGTCATCTGTCCGTGCTCGTGCTTTAGAAAACTGCTTGGCTTGTACCATAAAGCCGCTCCATATGTGAAACTTGCCCACTTTCTTCTAACCAGACAGCCTAACACTGTCAAAAAGCATGAGATTTGGTCTATATTCGGGGGGAAGCCAATCAAATCCTCTCTACACGAGTTTGCGATTGTCACATGGCTTAAATGTAGTTAGATATCGATAACATATTGTAAACTTAAAAGTAAATATTTTTTTCCTTCATACATGTAATTACCTATTATATTAAATAACACTCCAAAACAGCTGGTAATCGTCCCTCAGTGTTAGTAGACAACTACAACATCTTGTACACTTATATTTAGTTTACTTTACTCATTTATCATTATAAACCCCCATCAGATCAAATAACATGTTACAATATAATATATGTGTACATTTTTCTTCATACATAAAACCACCCATCATTTTGAATAACACTACAAACTAGATAATAACCATCTGTCAAAGTTAGTAGATATCTATTACTCTTTGTAGACTTACATTTAGTTTATGCTACTCATTTATAAATATACACCTCTATCATATCAAAATAACACGCTACAATATAGTATATGTATACGTTTACCACGTCTATAATATGTACATTTATTCTCCAAGTTATCAACTAACACTCCACAAACCTAGGTGTACCCATATATTTTTATTTTTCTGTCATGTCTCTCGAAAATTCTTGTTGTAGCATTACTATATCGCATTAACTACACATCACCTCAGATTATTTCATGCACACGTCAGGCAGCGAGGAGAATATCATGTCTCCTCATTTAATGTCAAACCGACAGTTGTCTGATTTTGGTTAACATCTCTCCTTATTTTATTCAGTTGTACATATTCAGATAGCTTTTTACCCCACGCGCATGCAATGACATCAAACGTAAATAATCAAATCCATAAATCACTGTTCGTCACCCTTTAGCTAGTTTCTTCTAGCTCATTTGAGTCTTGTTATTTTCCTTATTAAAACCCAACACTTAGCTTTCTACCAAATTGTCCCTAAATTATATATGTTATATGGTAAGAATAAAGATTTATATCACAGATCAACTTCTAAAAAAAGGTAAAAAT